ACACCTCGCTTTTTCAGACCGATGAGCTTTGTAAAAATCGACGCGTTTCAGAAAGGCGGGGCATAGAGAAGAAACAATAATGTACAGTATGTGAAAAATGATGTTTTTTTTTACCTTAAACCGCATAAACACATTTCATTACACCAAATACACCAAATAATGTTCTTTTTAGCAACATCATATGACCCCTTTAAATAATTTATTTATTTTATTTATTTATAATAATTTGTGTAAAACATTTTTTTTAAATGCATTTAAAATTTTAAAATACACATTTGTTTATTTAAAACATTAATTTGTTTAACATTTTATTTATTAATTTCTTTAAAATGTGTATTTACAAATTTATTTATTTGAAATTTATTTATTTATCAGTTTATTAAAACTTATTTATTTAATTGCAAAGGGTTCCCCAAAAAATTTTAATAGGAAAAAAAAAAAGGTGGTAAATGTCTTAAGAAGCCTACAGTAGATATTCTCTGGAAAAACCAGCAGAAGCTGTCTGATATGTCCTGATGTTTTGAGTGTCTGTAGTAATCCTTGTGAGATCATTACCACAAACTATGTGACGCTTGCGTGTCATGACGGTTTTTGCACATCTAGGTGTTTGACTACAAGAATGAAATGTCATGCTCTTTTGTTTTGTCATTCATGCATTCAGTCAACGCATACTCATTTATTCTTTCTTCCGTGTGCATGGTGTGGGTGTGACGGCATGCGTGTGTCTAATCCTGCGCTTATGCTGAAGGGCCCAACCGTAAGGTGCTCTTGAACATGCTGTTTAGTGTAGGGGCTGAGCGGTGCCACCCCCCCTCCCTCAACAGCCCTATCCTCAGTGTCAACAAAGCTCCGCCTCCTGGCATAGGTAAAGCCCCGCCCCCAAACTTTCAGCTTTCTTGCCAGTATCTTTCACCTCTGTCCTTCAGTCGTCTTCTGTTCTTTTTATGTCGTTATTTCAGTAGTCTTCAGAGAAGCAAATGTGACTTTGTTCCAAAACCGGGTTAGCTTCTGCCTACATAGGCAGCATACTAAATGAAATGCAACCTAATGAGTGGAACGTTCCATGTAGGCAACAACTCTTTGTGTTATACAAATGGGGTTCCTCACATGACTCGACTCACGAATTGATTTCAGCAATATTTTGGCGTTAGCATGTTGCTAAGCTAACAACATGACACTCTAATAAGTGTGTAAAACAAAAATATTCTGTAAAATATTCGGTAAATTAACAAAACCGTTCACCCAAATAGGAAAATTACCCCATGATTTACTCGCAGTCAAGCCATCCTAGGTGTATATGACTTTCTTCTTTTAGATGAATCCAGTTGGAGCTATCCTACGTCTTCCGCTACTCTCACGTGAATGACAGTTAGCGGAAGTGAGAGTTGACGGTTTATAAAGTTTTAAATATGTATATTTTTCTTACAAAAATGCATCGATTTGCTTCAGAACGCCTTTATTAATCCCCCGGAGCTGTGTGGAGCACTTTTTATGATGGATGGATGCATTTTTTGGGCTTCAAAATCTCAACCCCCATTCACTGCCATTATAAAGCATGGAAGAGCCAGGACATTTTTTTTATATAACTCCGATTGTATTCGTCTGGAAGAAGAAAGTCATATGCACTTAGGATGACTTAGAGGTTGAGTAAATCATGGGGTAGTTTTCATTTTTGGGTGAACTATCCCTTTAACTCATTTTTTGGCACACAAGTAAATCGGCATTTCTATTTATTTTGACCGCCATTTTGGATGAATATTTTTGCTGAACTCATTGCAGAGCATTCTGGGAGGGCCATCTCCGCCAATGTTCAAGGTACTTTATGAATATAAATATGCTGTCTGCTTTTTGGAACATAATGTACACATTTAAATACTAATTATTACTATTGAAATATTAACTTCAAGTTTTGTCATTAAACATGAATTTTAAATAAGTGCTTAATGGCCACCAAAATTGTGTCCTCTCTTTTTTCTGCCCTCTTTTCCATCACTTCCTACATTTTTTAATTTAGATTTTTTTTTTTTTTTTTTTTTTACATTTTATTTCTTCATTTCTGTGCTAATTGTATTTCTAAATCTATTTATTTTATTTAAAGCTTCCTGTGGTCATAGAAACCAGATTTGCATACCTAGATGCCCCATTTGACTAATCCAGATTTGTCAGCAACAGCTGCCATCTTGGAAAGGTCAACATTTTGGGTTGAACTCAAACAATCACTCACCAACGTACTATAATTACACCAACATAAATCCCATGACAGTACAGCCTATGATGCAAACCGGCGAGACAAAAGAGGGTAGTGTTTCACAGTTGAGAATGCTGACAAAGCATGGTGCTTGTTGCATCATCACCTGCATGTGTTTACGGGTGTTTATTGACCTTTCCAATTTGCGTATCACACTTCTTAATAACAGTGGTATCTAGATATCGCAAATCTATGATAGAATCAATTTGCCTCCAGTTTGGTTCACTGCTGCTTTCATATCTTTCCCATAATTGGTCCACAGGGTTTGATGACATCTTGAATGTGGCAGTAGCTGTCACGGCCATGAGTCGTGGATTTGCAGAGGTTGATGGGCTCAAGACAGGAAGCAAGAAGTATGTTACATGCCGTTAACATGGCTAAAACAAGCCTACACAGAATTGATCACTTGCTCGCTCTTCTTTTTCTCAAGAATGGACAGATTGCTGTGTCTAGACGGTGGAGGAATAAAGGGACTGGTTCTGATCCAGATGTTGATCGCTTTGGAGAAGGAGGCAGGACGGCCCATCAGGGAACTCTTTGACTGGGTGTCTGGGACTAGCACTGGCGGCATACTGGCCCTAGCAATTGTACACGGTATTTGATATAGCATATAGTACATTTATGACACCGTATTGACCAATCAGCATCCAGAACAGAATGACGCTTGATGTAATTATAAAATATGTTCTTGGTGACTGTGTGTACATGCATCAGTATAATTGTGTTTGTTGTGTACGTGAGCAGGTAAATCGATGGAGTATCTGCGCTGTCTGTACTTCAGGATGAAAGAACAGGTATTTAAAGGTTCTCGACCATATGAGTCTGGCCCTCTGGAGGAATTTCTCAAGAATGAGTTCGGAGAAAATACCAAGATGACGGACGTCACACACCCCAGGTACTTAAGGTTTGGGATTTTATGAACCAAACAACACATCCCCTACCAGAACACTCTAGCAACCACTTATTATTTAGCAAATACCCACAACATCCTTTCAACTGCCTAGCAATGCCCTTTCAGCGACCGGTACACCCAAGCTATGCTCTAGCAACCACTCAGAACACCTTAACAACTGTTTGGCAACCACCCAAAACATAACCAATGTTAGCACTCAGAACATCTTACAATGCCTTAGTAACCATCTGAAACACCCTAACAACTGTCTAGCCACTGTACAGAACTTCCTAGCAATGCCCTTGCAACCACCCAAACACCTATGCAGCCACTCCCCAAAATAATGAGAGCATTGCATCAACTGCCTACTGCCAGTTATCTGGCACCCACCCTAAATACCCATGCAACCTCTCAGAACATCATAGCAATGCCCTTACAACCACAAGAAACACCCTAACAACTGCCTAGCAAACCAAAACTTATAAGTTGCGCCCTTGCAAAGACCCAGAACAACCTATCAACCACCTAGCAATGCTCTTAACAACCACCTAAAATCTAGCAATGCCCTAGAAATCATCCGTTACAACCCAGCAATGCCCTACTGTAGCAACCACCCAGAACTCTTTAGAAATGTCTTAGTGATGACTCTGAACACACCACCAACTACACCAACGTAACATCACCCTGGCAATATAAGCAGCCATTTCCTCCAAATGTTTTTTTTTTTTTAAATGGGCCACCAAATTACAATGGCAGCCTCTGCCTGTCAACCTCCAGAACACCCTAACAATGCCCAAGCAAAAACCTAGAACTCCCTGTTAAACACTTAGCAATGCTCTAGCAACCACCTAAAACAGTGGTTCTCTAACTGGGGTACGCGTACCCCTGGGGGTACGTGAGGTGACGGAGGGAGTACACAAACAAAATGCTGAGCTTTAGCATTCCTTTAATTCTACCCCAACTTAAAGTAACATTAAAACCGAGCATGTTTTTCTGACAAGCAAAATGGCGCTTCTAGTATAAAAACAGGAAAATGGGAGTGCCGTAAATGGTCAAATGACATCAAATTACCTCCTTTTTTGCGGTCAAAACTGACTGAACCACACAAGCAGCGTGCGTATTATAGGATGGCTGCAGAATATGCTGCTTTAGCAATTCACACTGCTGTTCATTGTATCTTCAAAGTAGATTTGTAGCACTTATAGCACGAAGAACAAATATTGACACGGACTATACATAGAGATCGATTTAAGAAACTCTTCGATACAGAAACATACCCTGTGCGAGTTATTGTTTTTCATGTTTAAAATACGAGCAAGAATGCAATTTTCCCTGAATATTCAAACGATTGCAACTGTGACATTTATTTTATATAACAGTTCAACAAAAAAGGTAATATTAAGTGAACATTTTACATTTTAAATGTAGCCTACATTTTAAATACAATATTGTTAATTATTGATTGTTATATTTTACAACGAAATAATAGTTCCAACGAAATCTGTGACAGAACTGGTGTGCGTCTCCAAGCAACAGCGTTGTTTCGTTAGTGAAGGAATCTGCAGCTTTGAACGATTCAGAGAGTCAGTGATTAATAACCTATTCATAACTACAGCCATTTGCTTCATTACTGAATGAATGAATGATTGAATGAATGAATGACGCGATGCTCATTAAGACAGTGACTTGCCGTCACCTACTGGCGATTTTAGTTTTAAATCTACAAGTTTCACTTCGTTTTGCCATCATTTATTGCTTTATTTATTATATTAATAATACACTTAATGGCATGTTAAGAATATGACATAAAACATGATATACAATTAATGAGGCTAGAAAAACTTTGCCTCCCTAAAGGTAAAAAAATGCACCTGTAAATCACTTTAAGGGGGCAAATATTGTCCCTTAATGGAAAAGATGTGACTGCGGTCTAAGTGGGGGTACTCAGAAGAATGTTAAATGCCCCAGGGGGTACGCCACTGTAAAAAGTTTGAGAACCACTGACCTAGAATAACAAACACTCAAAATTTCCTAGCTATGCCTTAGCAATGACCCAGTACACCCTAGCAATGCCCTACTGTAGCAGCCGCCCAGAATGTCCTTTGTGATAACTCTGAACACCCCTTAGCTACACCCTAGCACCAACCGAGTACTCTTTTTTTGTAATGCCCTAGCAACTATAGCTATAACTCCTTCACAATGCCTTTGCAAAAAGTACTGATAGCTCGTAGCCCCCCCCCCCC